TGGAAGGCTGAGTCAACCTTGAGCCTGGTGGGATTTGAACAGCCAAACTGCTGAACTGCAGTGCTGAATTTAACCACTGCGCCACCTCGGCTCTATGATATAGTGACTCTGCTCTGCTCTGCTCTATGCAGGGTGGAGAAGCTGCAGTAATTTGTGGAACATATCTGAGGGTCTCTGACATGTTAACTGCATATACTTCTTTTTCAGCACACCATAGTAGATCCAGCTTTCAACATCAAGGTATTAAGCCATGTTTTTACCCATTCCGGTGACAGACAAATAAACCAACAGACTGACAGACTGACAGACAGACTGACAGACAGAAGAGATTAATAGATGATAGATAGATAGACAGACAGATAGATAGATAGACAGCAGATTAATTCACAATGTAAACCCAATGCTAGATTCAGGTTGGCTAGTTTGATTAAATGTGATTATTTTCCTGGGGCAATTATGTACTGTATGTGTGCATCAATATTGTTAGCAAGTCTGGTTCTTAAAATTAGATACTTACAGACTTAACTGATGGTTTTTTGCTTTTTTAGAAAGTTTAAACCAGAATAAAGTACATTATTGTAAAAAAAAATTGTTTAAGAGATTGTTCTTTGAACAACAACATACTCCTGCTTTGTTAAGAAATCAATGCTACCTTGCCAGTTATTATTTCCCAAATTGCTGCAATTGAGGCAAGAGACACAAAAGAGCTGTTCTATACATCAAAAAGACAATCGAATTTCAAAAATGATTTTTATCTTTCGAATTCAATGCCCCACGTCGAGAGTACCACGCTATAATTTAATTTCAGTACAATACATAAGGGTACAAAAGGGCTTTTCATACACACACACATATATATATATACACATATAGATTCACAAACACACCCACATATATTCTGACATGCACTGATTTGGAAGCTAGCCTCATCCTTTTTCTCATATATGACAAAATGTGGAAACTGAGCAGCGAAAGGGAGAAAAAGAGCCAGCACACAGATTCATAGATAGAATCAAACCTGACATAAATGACTATTTGGATTTCCCCCATTAGCACTTACTTCTCCACAAACTAGCTAGACTACTGGCTATGTCTGTGTAGGTTTATTGTTTTATTTTAAACAGTCCTCTTGAGTTAAAGCTGAACGGTTCTCTTTCCTTCCACACGGAGAATAAAGCTGTGTACCAGGAGCAGTGTTTGTGGCTGCCTTCATTAATAGGCAATTTTGTGATTTGACAGCTTTGCCGCTTGGAGAGGCTCCGTTTCGGGAGGGCTTGGAAGATGCTGATGCCACGAAGCTTGAGCCCACTGTCACAGAATTGATCTACTCCAGCCCATTTGCTGGGGGGGGGGGAAGTATCACCCTCGGAAGGTTTTGTCTCTGCTGCTCAAAGTTGAGACGAGCCGGTGCCCTCTATGCAGACAGAACATGCTCCTTTCAAAGAACTCAAGGAAGCTGCAGGTAAGTTTTGCCTGGCATATTACATCCAAGAACAGGAGAGGGAAAGGGAACAGTTTTAATTTTTCTCCCCCTTGCAGCATAGATTCCTATGTAGATTAACAAATGTGATGTGCCTGGAAGGGAGTTATCTCCTCTGCCTCTCAGTAAGAGCTGATCAACGCAACAACTAAGCTGGGATAATCAAGGCATGTAGCTCTAATTGTCTAATTGTAAATCTCCTTTTCATCAACTTGCTGGCTTCCCTCAAAGCTACGCCAAAGGGTTCCTTAAGCTGGGTTGCTTGATCCTTGTGTTCAGCCACAAACAAAGCTGGAAACGGCAAGGGATACATTTCTGCTTTCCCCACTCAAGTGGGGGAATTTCCCCAAACCCTTTTTGAAATTTGTTCTCCTCCTTTCAATTTCAACTCTGGCAGTGGGGCAGTGGAAGACCTGCCTTCAGACCTTTTGTCATTCATCTCTGCCAGGGGGTGTCGGTAAATGGTGAGAAGAACAAACTCCAAACAGATAGCTTATCTTTCCTCTCTTTCACAATCTACTTGGCGGGGGGGGGGGGGCGGGGAATCATCATAGGAGTTGTGTTCTAGCATAATTGTCTACCAACCCCCTCCCCCCAAATCTAGCTGATTAAGGAGATGGAGAGAATAACCTTCTTGTAGGGTAGTCAGATCTGTGCATGGGGTTTTTGTAATCGGGTCAATGCACTGTTGGAAGCCAAGGGTTTAATATAGGTGGGATGGAAAACCTAGAGACAGGAATTTCACCTTACATTAGACTCCCTGTGATTACTTTTTTTTCCCTAGGAAGGCAATGAGAAAATGTGTTGACCAGAACGGACAGAAGCAGCCAGACAACAATGGAGAACAACACAGGCAATGGACAGAACGAGACAGAAGTTCTGCCAAATCTGGAGGTGGTCACTACTGAATACCAAGTGGTCACTATCTTTTTGGTTCTCCTTATTTGTGGGTTAGGCATTGTGGGCAACATCATGGTGGTATTGGTGGTACTTAGGACAAAGCACATGAGGACCCCCACTAATTGTTACCTGGTCAGCCTTGCAGTAGCTGATCTCATGGTCCTTGTGGCTGCTGGACTACCCAACATTACTGAAAGCATTTATGGATTCTGGGTTTATGGCTACATTGGATGCCTCTGCATTACTTACCTCCAATATCTTGGTATCAATGCTTCTTCTTGCTCTATTACTGCCTTCACTATTGAGAGGTACATTGCCATTTGCCATCCCATCAAAGCTCAGTTTCTATGCACTTTCTCCAGAGCCAAAAAAATCATCCTTTTTGTCTGGGCGTTCACCTCTGTCTATTGCATGCTCTGGTTTTTCTTACTGGATCTTAAGAGGGAAGTCTACAAAGAAGCCACGGTAGTGTCTTGTGGGTATAAAGTGTCTCGGAGTTACTACTCTCCAATTTATATGATGGACTTTGGGATATTCTATGTCATGCCAATGATCTTAGCAACTGTCCTCTATGGGTTGATTGCTAGAATTTTGTTTCTGAGCCCAATTTCATCTGACTCTAAAGAAAACTCAGCAACATGGAAGAATGATTTGGTTCTCTCAAGCAAAACCAAAGCAACCAATAAGAGCATCAACAGTGCTGTGGCTTCAAGAAGACAGGTAAGAAAACTACCCTCCAAATCAGGGGTCTCCAACCTTAAGACTTGTGGACTTCAACTCCCAGAATTCCTCAGCCAGCAAAGCATAGAAGCATGGTTGAGGAACTCTGGGAACTCTGGGAATTGAAGTCCACAAGTCTTAAAGTCAAGGTTGGAAACCTCTGCTCCAAATGGTTTGGGAGGTTCCATTTGTAGCAGGAGTCTTCTGGATGGAAAGTCCAGACCAAATGAGGCTTCCATGTTCACAGATGCTACATTTGCATTTATACATCATACAAAACTTCCTTAGTTTATTTGGTTATTTCTATTACAATAAATATGTCACTAACAATCAAATATTTATGTTCTAAAAATATAAACCCAGAAAAAAATTAAACTATCCACACTTTAAGACTGCCCAAAAAGTATGGTGACTAAATGGTTCTTACAATACCAGTCAATATCTGCACCATAATTTCAACCACAATTTCAATCTAAATTCACCATAATTTCTGATTCTAGAGATCAGAAGCTGGCAACAACTTAGAGCAAGAAGAATTTTCAGTTGACCTTCTCTGAATGATCTCAGCTAAGAGGAAAGATTTTTTCTTCAGTGATCCACACCCAAGATATTTAACGCTTTAAGAATAATAAGTTTGTATGTTGTTTGGAAACAAATGGATGGCCGACATGATACCTTTTGCATAGACATAATAGTTCCTTTGATTCTTTCCCTAGATGAATCTGTTGAATTTTTGCAGGAAATATCTGGGCTAGATCCAAAGACAGTCCTATAAACAGTCCACTGCAGTAATCTAGCTTGCAGGCTACCAATGCATTTAACACTGTTTTGATGTGATTCATGGAGTTTGGCTTAGCAGATTGTATGAAGTGTGATTTGTAAACTGTGTTTTATGGTTTAGCATGTTGTATGAATCCAGACAATGGTTGTTTATTTTATCAACTATCTTTTTTTTTAAAGTAAAGTGCTTTATGCAATGTGTGAACCAGACCATTTAATCTGAATGACAGAAGCTGAGGATGAACAGTGGAATGAGTGGGAATTGCAGAATTTATGCCCTGGTTTGTTTGATTTTATAAATATTTTTGGAGTAATTTCAGCCGTTAGTTTGTTTGACAAATGAGTTTCTAATGTAACATGCTAATGCTTTTCTAATGAGTTCCAAATGTAACATGCATTCTTTTTTAGTACATCGAGTATACAACTACAGTATACTCTGTAATAAGCATAGTGATATCTCAGCATGCAACTCCTTTAAGTTATAACTGGTAGGATTATCATATCATAACTATTTAAAAAGCAGGGAAATCCAAAATGATGAGACTAGCACTATAGAATTGAGCAAGTTCTGGAGAACCAGTAGCAGAGATTTTGAGTAGGTCGGAGAACCGGTAGCGGAAATTTTTAGTAGTTCAGAGAACCAGCAAATTCCACTTCTGGATGGAATTGAGTGGGAATGGAGATTTTGCTGTAACTTTCTCCTGCCACGCCCACCAAGTCATGCCCACCAAGCTACACCATGCCCACCAAGCCATGCCCACAGAACCAGCAGTAAAAAAAAATTGAATTTCACCACTGCAGAGGTGGCTCTGCAATCCCAAACTGGAAGTGCCAAGTCTAGCACAATGGGGGAACCAAACATCACTGTTGTCGTAACTATGTGTATTATTCTGTGGTTACATTGATGGTTGTATATGATTTTTGGCAGTACCTATCTTCAAAGCCAATGGAGGCTTCATAGCACAGTAGGTTTTTGTCAGCAGTTGCAGCATCTAGTTCCCTAGGTTGAACATCACAGTGGCATAGGCTTCTTTCACAGCATCTGTGTAGTTGTTGACCTCAAGTCTCTTCTTAGATTCCCATACACTCTAACTGGTGAGACTTACAGTACTCATTCATTCTAATGCAACCCATTTCATCTGGGCTCTTCATTTGGGAGTCAATGCTGGTAGCAGTGACGTGCGGTGAGGTTTATGGCTGGTGAGGCAGTCCTCTCCCCCGATACCCCACCTCTGCTCCGAGCACAGGCGGGCGAAAGAAAGTCACTTTCTTTCGCCTGCCTGTGCTCGCGGCAGAGCTCAGGCGGGCTGCCGCGAGCTCAGGCGGGCGAAAGAAAGTGCTTTAGTCAGTGGGGTGTTGCGGGAGAGGAGAGAATGCCTGAGCATTGCATTTATTAAAGAAAAAAGAAAAAAAGGAAATTTGAAGGAAAAGAGGGAGCATGGGGTGGGAGTGGGGGACACCAGAAATGGAGAAAGAGAGGAGGAAGAGTGACTGCGATGCTGCAGCTTTAAACAGAATGACAGAGTTGAAGCCTCTAAAAATGCGCCCCCTACCATGAGGCAGGAGAACTGCGTGCCTCAACCATCTTGGGATTTTTTAGGCTTTTAACCCTCGCATAACTCTGCTCAAGCACCTAAAAAGTCAGACTAGATGAGGCATGCAGTTCTCTTGCCTCATAGTAGAGGGCGCTTTTTTAGAGGCTTTTTTTAAACAGACAGTCATTCACGGTATGGCAGCAGCTAGCTAGCCTAACCTCAGCACTCGCCTTTTCCTGTTTACATTTTTTTCCTTTTCATGATTGACAGTCGTGAGGCTGTGCCTCTCCTGCCTCCCCTGACTGCATGTCACTGGCTGGTAGACTCTGTGATCCAAGACTTCTAGGTTGGAGACACAGTTTTGTCAACAAATGCCAAGGATGGAGCAGAGAATGTACCAAAGGTGGTATTCAAAATTTTGTACTATTGGTTCTGTGGGTGTGGCTTGGTGGGCATGGCATGGCTTGGTGGGTGTGCTTGGTGGGCATGGCAGGGGAAGGATACTGTAAAATCTCCATTCCCACCCCACTCCAGGGGAAAGTTACTGCAAAATCCCCATTTCCTCCTGATCAGTTGGAACTCAGGGACTCAGGAGGCAGAGACTAGATGGTCAGTCAGAGGTGGTATTTACTGGTTTTCTAAACTACCCAAAATTTCTGCTACCGGTTCTCCAGAACTGGTCTGAACCTGCTGAATACCACTTCTGGAGTGTACATGTGACATTTCTCCAATTGTTGGATATCCTTTTGGTACAGAGTCCAGGACTCAAATCTGGAGACGAGGTAAGGGACAGCCACAGCCCTGTAAACTTTAAGCTTTATAAAGATGGAGGTTGATGGAGCACTCTAGTATATAACTGCCTGGCTAGGCTTGATGATTTCTTTGCCAAAGTCTCATGATGATGATGATGCTTCCCAAGTATTTGAAGCGGTTTACATTTGTCAGTTGGGTGTCATCAGCAATGGTTTTTGGTTCTGTGGGCTTGGTGTTTTGCATAGACTGGTAAAGCACTTCAGTCTTGTTGAGGCTGATAGTCAGATGGAAGAGAAACATATAGGAATTTGTTCAGCGTCAACTGTCGATCATTGTTCTTGTCCACTAGGAATACGTAGTCATCTTGAATGATGGTATGGAGGCATTTTGTCTCTGCATTCAAGTGGTGAAGGTCAAAATAAAGCCTTCTAGTTGGTACTTTATGTATATCCCTCTTTCAGACTCTGAACAGCATTTGGAAATGAAGAACATATTGAATAGGATCTTATCAGACTCTTAAAACCACATGAAAAGTCACTGACATTTCATTCTGGCATCACAGATTTAATATCAATGCTATTATAATTATTATTCTAAGTTTTAACTTATCTATTTGACTTGCATATTTGTTTTAATTTAAGCCATACCTATTGTATGACTTGTTGTTGTTAGCTGCAAAGTCATGTCCGACCCATCAGGACCTCATGGACAATGTTCCTCCAGGACTTCCTGCCTTCTACCATCCTCTGGAGTCCATTTAAGTTCATGCTGACTGGTTCAGTGACTCCATCCAGCCACCTCACTCTCTGTCATCCCCTTCTTCTTTTGCCCTCAATTGTTCCCAGCATTAGGCTTTTCTCCAGTGAGAACTTACCTTCTCATTAGGTGGCTTATAATCCATAAAAAGAACTCTGGACAATGAGTAGATAATAGACATTTTAAATAAATTAAAAATAAAACATCAATATATGGAAAATGCAGATAAAGAGATGTCTTTCTGCCTTACTCAAAAAAGGTGAAGAGATCCACTGTCATTACATTCACTGAGGCACTAGGGATGATAAAGGGAATGACTTTTTTTGACACAATACAAAACTAAACGTATGGATAATCTCCAACAGCTATGGTAATGATGTTGATCTTCAGTGTAGAAAATTGGAAAGGGCGACTTGAAAAATCCATGGCAGACAAGGTAATCAATGAGGGAATTTAATACAATTGGACTTCAAGAGCAGCTATTAGGGAATAACAATGGAAATTGACTAACCTACTATAGGTTGCATGGTTCTAAATGCAGCCTGTTGGTCACTCTACGTGAATGCTATGTGAGAGGATGTTTTTAGCCTGATCCAGTAGGGCTGTCTTTAACTTCTTCATACTGAAGTTGTCTGGCTAGATGGAGAAAATAGTGCAGGCAGCCTAACATTTTTTTTTCTCCATCAGACCACCAAATTAGATGCCTGCTTAATAGGCTTGTTTTGGTGAGAAGTTTGAGGATGCTGTGGTTGACATGTGGAGATCTTTGGGGTTCCACCACAAAACCGCGGACGACAAAATCGCGGTCGACGAAAGCGCGCATTTGACGTCATCACAGCG